AGTGAAGTTAGTTTAAGCTAAGATACAATAAGTTTGCAGTTAAAGACTCGCTGGATGAAAGCTAGTGTTTTGGGACAACATCAAAAATCCCAATCCCGTGTTCTCATGTGTATGTTGGTGCATGCAAGTGTTAGTAGAAAAGCGAGAGTACAGTGAATGTCTGAGTGTTGCAGAGAGACTCAGGGACAGATGGCGCTCCAGAAGGCTTGAGTAAGCAGGGATGGAGAGAACGAGCCCTGATGCGCAGAATCAGTCTTTCTCCGCCTCCCACCCCAGGGATGGAGTTTCTTTAACACAAGCATGGCTAATACACTCGTCAAGTCAACATCTGGAGCACAGGAGGCACTTCTAACTACATCCCCATACACGCTCCAGGTGTTCGGACATCCTCGATGGAGGCAGTTTGGTCTTTGACGCCTGTTTAGCAAAATGCCACATCATCCCTCACCCACACCTCACCCCAACATACTCACACAGAACTGTGTCGTCACACGTTTCTTAAACTTGGTTCTGAAACAAAAACCCAAACTGATCTGATGACTGAGCGTCATCTGCAAATCCAAATCATATCAGTACGACTAAAAGGAGAAATGAGTAAAAGTGGGAAAATCATAAAAAACATTGTGGCATAACAAATTCAACACATTGAAAAAATAAGACTGTTTGCCTCTTAACAAGTGGCCAAACAGAAATATGAGACTTTTTAATACCAAAAGCTTTTCCTTATTTCCTGTTTGACAAAAAGAGGCTACTTCAAGGACAGCTTGAACTATTCTGGTGAAATATTTATTCCCCTTTTGTCAACTGACAGAATTATGTCATTATATCTATAAGCATATTAGATTTAACTGACTTAAGTGGATACAATCATTAGACAGTGAATCAACAATAATAATTAAAAAAGCAACTATGTAACTGTGATTTTATTAACTGGTTCTTTGTGTTATGGTGGTGCTAGTAAAATACTCCATGCAACTGTACAGTGTGATTTAAAAGAAAGCTTTGACTCAATTTTTATTAAATACAAAACATCTCTCCAAGCAACTGCCGTAGGTCACTATTGCACGTCATGGATACAGTGTCTATTTTCTCCTCCCCGCTGTAGCTAAGACAAGCTCAGGCTGGTGTTTGTAGCAGGAGATTTCAGATCTCAGTTTTGTGTCTAGTCAATAAAAAGCAACAGAGATGAGCTGAAATGTGCTAAAGGTCCTTACAGGGGAAGAAAGTGTGATATAT